ACATGAACTTCAAACAACCCTGCTTCATCGGCATAGGAATTCCAAAGTCCAGTATTCCAAAAACTAGGGACCTGACCAAACAAGGCATGCGAAGGAGGCACGTAGCGATCAATAAGCATCGGGTGCTCAAGCAGAAAGCCAACCTCAAGCCTAGTAACTCCAGCTGGCGGCCTAACCTTGCGACCTGCAGTCGCCACAGCATGCAACCAAATCTGTCGGCAAAGCAAAGCCGTTTCACGATCAACCTTCGACCGTTGTGCTGCTGACAAATCTGGAAGGCCATATAAGTCCAATGGCCCGCGCAGAGGTGGGACAACGCTACTCCCATGAGCATGTGTGTCAAACGTACCACGCGGTGGAGCACCAAGAAGATGCGACACTTTGCCGTGGACGGCACCCCAAACTAGAGCGCGCCAAGCAGGAGTGCGTAGCACATCTTGGTCTGAGCCTCTGGTAATGTCCAATTCCAGGACAGTCACATTCTTGGACTCAAGGTGCGAAAAGGGTTTAGGGCCTGGGGCTCCAGCGTACAGATGAACAATCCACTCTGGCGCATTGAGCAATGCACGACGGCGACGCCGATTGAGATGCATCAAACCCTTTAGGAGCTCCCATCCTGAAACCTGAGCAACATCCTCAACAAGTCCCTGCAAAGCTGCTTGGGGAACATCTGCCAAGAAAGGCGCGGCCTGCAACGCTAGTTGGGCTGAATTGGTGGATCCAAGGCTCACATAGTCCTGCATGTGATCCCACCAGCTCTTTGACATCAAGGCTTTGACAGCTCGGATGCGAGAGGTACCTTCGGCCACATTCGCCTCCAGAGACTTCAAGTCCTCTAGCCGCTTTTCTTCTAGCTTGCTGATTAGCACCAAGGCTTCTGATTCCATGATCTCTGGACACCCACCTTTAACCCTCAAGCGAAAGGCACGACCCGAAGGAGCAATCAAACGGCATCGCGAGGCAGTCCAATCCAAACGATACCCCAGCTGCTGGATGACAGAACCCAGCGGCACGATGGTTTGGGCACTGGATGTGGGAGGCAACAGAAGAGTACCAGCAGCAGACAAACGCATAGCCGAAGTCTCCTTTCCAGAAAGTGACACGACAACGGGTTGCGCACTAGCCCATTCAGCTTCGGAACTTGCAGCGCGAAGGGCATGAGTGGCCCCACTGTCTACCAAAGCCAAAAAACTAGGACTACCATCTACTTCCAAAACCTGCCCAGGCTCAATGGCTGTGAGATGGATGGTCTTAATGCTCGCTTTAGGCTCCTCCTGTGCTGCAGGTTTGTCTTCAATCGCCGGAGGCTGCGCGGGAGCGGCTGGGGTGGATGCAGGAGGAAAGGCTTCGGAAGAACTGGCAGCTGCAAACATCATGCGCATAAACGCTGTGAAGTCCTCCGCTCGGCCTGGGCTCGCGCCCGGCTGGATTGCAGTAGACGCCTGATCAGCCGTTGTGGGCCTGTGGCCTGCAGCATTGTTGGCGTCTCCTCCACCTGGCTGTCCTTTCCCCTTTGGGCTTCCTCCAGCTACCGGGCAGTCCTTTTGGCGGTGTGCCTCAGAGCCACATGCTAAGCACTTTTTGCTGCGCTCCTGACGAGAAAGTCCTGACATGTCGTGGCTAAACGTGCACTTAGGACCCCGCCTACACCCCGAAGTACCCATGAAAAACTTGCAGGGCTTTGAAGCCTGCGGCTGCCCACTGGCCTTTGGAGATGTTCCCGGACTGGGCGTGCCTACAGCTCGAACCTTAGGGGCACTCACACCTGTGGCCTTAGAGACTGCAAGGGCTTCCATCTCTGCAAGCAAGTGCTTGTGGTACTCCAGGACTGCAGACGAAGTTGGTTGAGCATCCATTTTTAACATGGAACGAAGCATAAACGTTCGAAACTTCGCTTCTTCATGCTGCGCCAAAACTTGGCTAGTGATGGTAGTGAGGCTCTTGGACAAAATGGTCGAGTCCGGAGGTGACATGTTGCAACTTTCACAGCGATTGTACCAACGAATCCACTCACGCAAAGACTTCACGGCTGAGGAGGGATCAGATGCTGGAGTGGGCTGCATGAGATTCTTCTGAATAACCTCCTTTTCTGAACCTCCACCTGGTTGGTACGTGGTGTGCAAACGGAAAAGGATGGAAGGAGCTGATTGATTGCATTTGCGGGCCACAATGTCTGCTTTGATAGACTCTGGAACTGCCGCCATAAGCATACTACAGATCCTAAAGTTGACACGCGCCCATCGCCCTTGAAGCAACTCAGCCGGTACAACTGGCTCAACCTTTAGCCTATCCAAGGGTGATGACGAAATCCAAACCCCATAGGCCGTATCAACCACACCCAAAACCTGACGCCACCACTCTGCTGCTGTGTCCGAAACATCACCGACCAAACCCCCAATCACGACTAACCAATCTTGGTACAGAAGAGACCCTTCATCCGAAGTGAGCTCTGCCAAAGCTGGGAAACTCGAGATGCCTGGCTTAACAGCTTCAGGGTTGGTGGGAGAATTGCCGCCATCGCGTTCGGCACGAGATCCCTTGAGCATCTCTGACATGGCATCTTGAAGTTGATGCATCCCAGCAATCAGTATCTCACGATCTGTGGGTCCTGATGCACTCGCGGCTCCTGCTGGCAGTGTGCCTCTGGGTTCTGCTTGTGGCCTCTGCGGTGCAGGGCTGGAAGACCGCGCACCGGAACCAAGGAGCCCTGAGAACAAACCAGCGAAGCCCTGAGGCTCGGGAGCGGAAGGAGGCGGAGGAGGAGGCGGTGAGGATGAAGAAGGGGCAAATCCAACCCCAGTGTTGGCGACAGGATGCGAACCGAACCCACTATCACCAAACCCACTAAAGCCAACCTCCCTAGTACCCACCTGCTGCAACGCCGTAGCCTCAACTTCACCAGCCTGCTGAGACCGAATCCTCGAGAGTTCGGCCTCAGCACGACCAGCTCTCTCTTGCTCAGCTCGCAGTTGCTGCTTCAACCCATCGAGCTGTCGCGCGACTTCTGCCTGGATCGCATCATGCGGAATCGATGAGGACTCGGTGTGCGGAGGCCTGTCCGGAGACCCGGACCCGTAGAGCAAGGGAGCTCTTTGCTCCATGGCAGCAAGCTGCTGCGCGTTGGCACCAGTGAACAACGGCATCGGCACTTGACACTCATCTTGCAGGACGCGGCCTCCTCTCTCGAGGGGCTGTAGTGGTCGCGACGGCCTTGGAGGAGAAGTCAGTGGACTGGGAGCCCACCCTTGCGGCAGTGGCTGTACGTTCGCCGCGCCACCAAACAGAGACTGCACTCTTCCTAGCAACTGACTAGCAAAAGCCTGAGCCCCAGTCTGCATGACCGCTGACGCCCCGTACGCCGTTGATCTGGGCGTTTCAAAGCCCTCAGCACTACTTCCAGGATTCGCTGCAGATGGGTTGTACCCTGAGACGCCTGCGGCAACATTGATCTGAGCGCTAGCCATTCCACTTTCGGTGGCCACACTGAAACCCTGAGTCACTGCAGTTGCATCTCCATGCACCCCACTCGCATCAGCGACCTCCGTGGTAGATACTGCTTCATACGTAACGCCAGCTGTGCCCAAGCCTCCAACCTGGCCTAGTGTTCCATCGCCTCCTGTCCTACCGACTGCTGAAGCTCTCGGTTGGCCGGCTGTTCCAACAGTTTCTTGTGGCAGCTGAGGGGATGGCACTGGACCAGCTGTGGAAGTCGATGGCCCCGACGACGCATCCATCATAGTTTGCTGGATTCCATCCCCAATAGGCTGCGCAAGCCCAGAGGGCGATGGCACTCCAACTCCGGCGGTTGTACCATTCACTGTGGTCTGCGGTGCATCCCCGCCTCCCCGCACTCCAGGCAGAGAGGCCGGAGAAGCCACCGCTCCGGTTGCTTCTGGCCCAGGCGTTGGGCTCATCACCTGTTGAAGGTGTTCACCCTGGGTGGCCATACCCTGCAGCGAAGCTCACGCAGAATGTTTTCTATGGCTGGGCGCAGAGGCGACTCACGATCTCAACGAAGCAACAAGAGAACCGACAAACCAACAAACGACCAGTACAGCTTTACAAGTTGTTGGTTACAGTACACATGGCTCAAGAGGCTTTCCTACGCAGCCTTCCCCTAAGCCAAAGGATACAGGAAACACACATGTACAAGCGTACCTGAAGGAAACTATACAAGTGCCGGCAATCCCTTCAAGCAGACTACACACCTGTCTAACCTGATACCTGGGCATGCAGTGAGAAGCATTTCAACAAAGTTCCTTAGTCTTTCGATTAAACACCAGGATGAAGGGTTGCATTGAGAGAGAGAGAAGAAGAGCCAGTTTAGCCAAAGGCTTGGCGACCTCCAGCTGGGAGTCCGCGAAGGTGTCCAATAAGAGGGTTCGCTTTGAGGACGATCGCTGCAGGGTCCTCTTCTGCCCCGACGGAGAGTCGGTGGAATACCTGAGCCTGCGGCTCGACAAAGAGCCCCTGAGCCTGAGCCTGGGGATGCGACAAGTCTCAAAACTTAAGTCCGCGTGCCAGGCTTACTACCTCTCGCAAGTGTCTTCGAGTGCTGTGAGCATAGTCTGAACCTTCCGCTTGGCCGGACTCCCCACGTGTGGCGTTTGCATGGATGTACACATGCAACCGACCAACCTACCGACCGACCGACCACCGACCGACGGACGGACCAACCTACCTACTTGTACCTGCATACATCTGTATCCAGTCATTTGCGTACCTGGATAAACATTGCAGACCTCGACATACCTACTTGCACATACCGTGTCGCATCCTGGCTTTGAGTTGTGTGGACCAATACTATGGAGTAGTATTATTCTCGGATGTTAGGGGGGAAGAGCATCTGCAGCCTAAGCAAAGGAGCTTCAGAGTACTAGGCAGTACTTGCTTTTGAGGTGCATGGACAAGCCTTGACAGCATTTCCGTTTTCGGTACACGGAAGTGAGGGAATTTGAGGAATTCAGAGATCGTCTGCTCCGTCTCCCGATGGGAAAGCCATGGAGGTTCCCACAGCCAGTCGTGCTGCAATTGTTCTAGATGAGGACTTTGATGTCGACGTGCCCTTGAAGATTGTGGGCCTGAAAGCAGCATCTCACCTGAACGAGAAGACCTGCTACATTCACAAGTTTAACAACGAGACTCAGAGATATGAGGTGAAGCTAGTAGAGTCCAACCAGATCAAAAGCGTGCAGCCAGCGAACCTCCAGCCTTTGTCGGGCGTTGACGAAGTCGCGGCTTGGGCCCAGCTGCTGCAGCGACAGGATTTGGTGGCGCAGGAAGGGCTCGTTCCTCTGAATCGCCTCGAGAAGCTGCAGATCACCATTGAGATTCTCACACAGACCAACGTCGGGAAGATCGTGAACGACTTCGCAAAGCGCTTCATACAGAGCGATGCCAGCGTGAAGGCACGGCAGCTTGTGTCCACCTGGCGCGTGAACTTCGCAAAGCAGAAGGAAGAGGTGGAAAAGTCCGCTTCTGGAAAGGGACAGGGGCAGGCCGGGCAGTCTGGCCACCGGAGGAAGTTGGGCCCCGTGGGCCCTAACGGCCGTCCGAGAGACAGCAAAGCCAAGCCTACCTCGACCTCTGCGAACACGTCGGCGGCCCCTGCGGGCCCAGGCGCTACTCGGGCGAGTGCGAAAGCTTCGGCTGGCGCTAAAGACGGGGCGACTGCGACTTCGGTGCCAGTGCCAGTGAAGAAAATGTCGTGTCCGCAGGATGCCAAAGGTCTCTTGGAAGCGATGCGCGCTGCCAACACGGCAGAGGCACGATTGGCCACTCTCGCGGCTTTAGACCAGTCGCCCAAACATTGCATGCGGCAATTTGTCGACGACGGCGGCCTGGAGATCTTGGATTTCTGGCTGCGAAAGAACCCTGAAGCACGACATACCTGTCTCCTCGTTCTGCAGAGGCTTCCTGTAGCTCTACACAGTCTTCAGAAATCCAAGCTGATCACTTCCGTGACAGGGATCTTTGACCAGGAGGTGGAGAAAGAGAACTCAAAGCAAGCCGAGGCCCTTTTGGCGCGATGGAGGTCCGCCGGCTTCCTTCCGAGACTTCCAGAAGAGCGCCAAACGACGCCGAATGGGCGCCTTCCGGGAACGGAAGCCGCGCCCGCGGCGCCCGCGGCGCCGGTGCCCCTTCTTCCCGTGACGGTCAGGCCCGAGGTCAAAGAGAGCCAGGACTCGGAGCCCGCGCCGCGCGAGGTGCCGGCGCCGAGGACTCCGCCGCTGAGCGAGCTGCCAGCAGCTCGACCGGAAAGCATCCCACCGGAACTGCGGAACCTCGATCCTCGCATCGCCTTGGTCTTGATGGAGAATCCTGACATGCTTGAGTTTCTGAAGAAGCATCCATCCGTCTTCGCAAACATGAATGTAGACAGCCTCGCCTATATCGGGCGCAACCTCAAGAATGCACGCAGCTCTCTGCAAGCACAGGACAGCAGCGACGCCACAGGCCGCACCGTTCCTTGGTCTGCATCTTCATCCTGTGGCTCCAATGAGGTTGCTCTAGCTAACGGTCTAACGTGGCCATTCCCGATCGCAGGTGACCATCTCAAACCTTACCGAGCTCACGACTGAGACAGACATCGTGAATTTCTTCGCAGCCGTCCAGCTGACAGCCGAGAAAGTGGACCTTCCTCGCGAGAGCCGACGGAAGCGGCCGTGTGGCACCGCCTTTGTGGTGTGCCTCGGCGTCACCCGAGTTGTACTGGTTCGCAGATCTTTTCCGATCTTGTCTCACTTTTTTTTGGTGTTCCGAGGCT